CCCCCGCCCCTCCCCTCCCTTCCTCACTCCTAGCTATCTCCTACCTAACAGCCCCACTACCAACCATCCACATGGCCACTTACCCCCCTTCCCATCCCCGGTCACCTATCCCATTCCCTCACCCCTTGCGTCCTCACAATTCCTCTCAACACCCCCTCCCCCCCTCTTCCCCTTCTTCCCAAGAGCCAGGGGAAAATGGAAGGGAACAGTTTTTCGGTGTTTGTGTGTTGGAATATTTGTTTGACGGTGAATATGGATGCGGCCCTGCTTACCAGGATATACAAGATTTGTTGCCCCCTCCGCCTCACCTTGTCTTGCCTTTACCTGTGTGTGTGTGTGTGTGTGTGTGTGTGTGTGTGTTTGTGTTTCTCTGAGCATGTACTCACATGTTTATATTTAAGCTGCTTCAAGAGTGGAATGGACACTAAGACGTGTAAGCCTTATCAAGGGAGTAACACGAACCTTTGTGCTACAAGACTAAGGGTACTAATGGACGCAAGCCACTACATGCTAACTCAAAACCTACCTGCACTTACATATTGTACATGAGATTCAGTCAACACACACACACACACACACACACACACACACACACACACACACACACACACACACACACACACACACACACACACACACACAATATACTTGTACTCAGTGAATCAAATACATCTGTAATGAGTAAAATTAAAATACAAACAACAAAGGAACAGGGAAGAAAATTTATTCTTTACCAAAACATCAGTTAAACCTACATATGACACAAACAATGTTAATACAGTACAAGGTTGCAGTGCATCCGTGTATTTCTTACTTTAATAGAGGAAAAGAAATGTAACGATGTTAAAAAAAATCGGATGTATTTGAAAAGAAACGAAGAGGTTAAAATATTACTTCAGAAGTAATGAAAATGATAACGTATTACTTTAAAAGTAATGAAAAATGATCGAATATTACTTAAAAATTTTGAAAATGATCAAATATTGCATAAAAAGTAATGACAATGATGATCAAGTGATACTTCAGGGGTCGGGGCTGCCACTAAAAATAAATGTTTGAGTGAAAACTGCAGTACAAGCTACTCTTCAAGACCTGAGTACTAGTCAAGAGTACCGACTCAAGGACAGACGTCAAGTTTAAAAGGAGGACAGTCGGAAGTACCCCCGTAGATCAGAGTACTGACGGTGAGGGAAGGTTAGTTAACGTTAAAATTAGGATAGATAATCTTAAACGTACCAAGAAACAATACCTTTCACCAACAGAGAGAATACCACTGACCAAGAGAGAGTACCACTGACCAAGAGAGAGTACCATTGACCAAGAGAGAGTACCACTGACCAAGAGAGAGAGAATACCACTGACCAAGAGAGAGAGAGAGTGCCACTGACCAAGAGACAAAGTACCACTGACCAAGAGAGAGAGAGTGCCACTGACCAAGAGAGAGAGAGTACCACTGACCAAGAGAGAGAGAGAGTACCACTGATCAAGAGAGTACCACTGAAAAAGAGAGAGTACCACTGATCAAGAGAGAGTACCATTGACCAAGAGAGAGAGCACCACTGACCAAGAGAGTACCACTGTTCAAGAGAGAGAGAGTACCACTGATCAAGACAGAGAGAGTACCACTGACCAAGAGAGAGAGAGAGTACCACTGATCAAGAGAGAGAGAGAGAGAGTACCACTGATCAAGAGAGAGAGAGTACCACTGATCAAAAGAGAGTACCACTGATCAAGAGAGAGTACCACTGATCAAGAGAGAGTACCACTAATCAAGAGAGAGAGAGTACCACTGATCAAGGAGAGAGAGAGTACCACTGATCAAGAGAGAGTACCACTGATCAAGAGAGTATCACTGATCAAGAGAGAGAGAGAGTACCACTGATCAAGAGAGAGTACCACTGATCAAGAGAGAGTACCATTGACCAAGAGAGAGTACCATTGACCAAGAGAGAGTACCACTGATCAAGAGAGAGTACCATTGACCAAGAGAGAGTACCACTGACCAAGAGAGAGTACCATTGACCAAGAGAGAGTACCACTGACCAAGAGAGAGAAAGAATACCACTAACCAAGAGAGAGAGAGAGTGCCACTGACCAAGAGACAAAGTACCACTGACCAAGAGAGAGAGAGTACCACTGATCAAGAGAGAGAGAGAGTGCCACTGATCAAGAGTACCAATGACCAAGAGAGAGAGAGTACCACTGATCAAGAGAGAGAGTACCACTGATCAAGAAGGAGTACCACTGACCAAGAGAGAGTACCACTGACCAAGAGAGAGAGTACCACAGATCAAGAGAGAGAGAGAGTACCACTGATCAAGAGAGAGAGTACCACTGATCAAGAGAGAGAGTACCACTGATCAAGAGAGAGAGTACCACTGATCAAGAGAGAGAGAGAGTACCACTGATCAAGAGAGTACCACTGATCAAGAGAGAGAGTACCACTGATCAAGAGAGAGAGAGTACCACTGATCAAGAGAGAGAGAGTACCACTGATCAAGAGAGAGAGAGAGTACCACTGATCAAGAGAGAGAGAGAGTACCACTGATCAAGAGAGAGTACCACTGATCAAGAGAGAGAGAGAGAGAGAGTACCACTGATCAAGAGAGAGTACCACTGATCAAGAGAGAGAGAGTACCACTGATCAAGAGAGAGTACCACTGATCAAGAGAGTACCACTGATCAAGAGAGAGAGTATCACTGATCAAGAGAGAGTACCACTGATCAAGAGAGAGAGTACCACTGATCAAGAGAGCGAGAGTACCACTGATCAAGAGAGAGCACCGCTGATCAAGAGAGAGTACCACTGATCAAGAGAGAGAGTACCACTGATCAACAGAGAGAGTACCACTGATCAAGAGAGAGAGAGTATCACTGATCAAGAGAGAGAGAGAGAGAGTACCACTGACCATGAGAGAAAGTACCATTGACCAAGAGAGAGTACCACTGATCAAGAGAGAGAGTATCACTGATCGAGAGAGTACCACTGATCAAGAGAGAGAGAGTACCACTGACCAAGAGAGAGTACCACTGACCAAGAGAGAGAGTACCACTGACGATGAGAGTACCACTGATCAAGAGAGAGTACCACTGACCAAGAGAGAGTACCACTGACCAAGAGAGTACCACTGACCAAGAGAGAGAGTACCACTGACCAAGAGAGAGAGTACCACTGCTCAAGAGAGAGTACCACTGACCAAGAGAGAGAGTACCACTGACCAAGAGAGTACCACTGACCAAGAGAGAGAGTACCACTGACCAAGAGAGAGAGTACCACTGATCAAGAGAGAGTACCACTGACCAAGAGAGAGAGTACCACTGATCAAGAGAGAGAGAGTGCCACTGACAAAAAGAGAGGACCACTGACTAACAGAGAGTACCACTGACGAAGAGAGTGAGTACCACTGACCAACAGAGAGTACCAGTGAGACGCGAGTCAGGGCCATTTAAATATAGAGTATTGGTTGAGTACATATTGAGAGTTAACATAAATTTGAACTAACTTGTATAGGCTACAGGTCGGTAGTAGACTTAACACTATATGTTTCTAGCAAGTACTCTCATAGAGTACCAACATGAGCAACGCTCCCATGTATTAACTTACATGTATCGTAGAGTACCAGTACTATAGAGTGTGTTAGAGTACTCACTGAAATTCAATCAAAAGAGTAGTTATTAAGAATACTTCCAAGAGTACTAAAAATACTAAAATCATGACCAAAAGTGAGAGTACTGAGAGCATAATAACCAAAATGAGAGTACTAAGAGCATAATAACCAAAAGTGAGAGTACTAAGAACATAATAACCAAAAGTGAGAGTACTAAGAACATAGTACTCTCACCTTTAGTTATTATGTTCTTAGTACTCTCACTTTTGGTTATTATGTTCTTAGTACTCTCACTTTTGGTTATTATGCTCTTAGTACTCTCACCTTTAGTTATTAAGAGCATAACGATCAAGAGTGAGAGTACTAAAACAGAGTTAACGAATGTGGGAGTACTACTAACATAGTTAACAAGAATAAGAGTACTAATAAAGTTAAGAGTGAGAGTACTAATAACAGTTAACACGAGTGAGAGTACTAACAACACAGTTAACAAGAGTGAGAGTACAGACACAGTTAAGAGTGAGAGTACTAACACAGTTAACAGGAGTGAGAGTACACAGTTAAGAGTGAGAGTACTAAGACAGTTAACAGGAGTGAGAGTATTAACAACACTGTTAACAGGAGTTATAGTATTAACAACATAGTTAACAGGAGTGAGAGTACTAACAACACAGTTAACAGGAGTGAGAGTACTAACAACACAGTTAACAGGAGTGAGAGTACTAACAACACAGTTAACAGGAGTGAGAGTACTAACAACACAGTTAACAGGAGTGAGAGTACTAACAACACAGTTAACAGGAGTGAGAGTACTAACAACACAGTTAACAGGAGTGAGAGTGCTAACAACACAGTTAACAGGAGTTTCAGTATTAACAACACAGTTAACAGGAGTGACAGTATTAAGAACACAGTTAACAGGAGTGACAGTATTAACAACACAGTTAACAGGAGTGAGAGTACTAACAACACAGTTAACAGGAGTGACAGTACTATCAACACAGTTAACAGGAGTGAGAGTACTAACAACACAGTTAACAGGAGTGAGAGTGCTAACAACCCCATTTTAACAGGAAAGGTGACAGTATAACACCACAGAACAGAGTGAAACAGTATTAAGAACACAGTTAACAGAGTGACAGTATTCAACACAGTTTAAAGTGAGTACTACAACACTTAACAGTGGTGACATTTCAACACAGTTGTAGTAGGTACTAACAACCATTAACAGTGTGAGGTACTAACAACACATACAAGTGTTGAGTCTACACAGTGAAAAAATCAGCGTGTTGGAATTAAAAAAAATAGAGTAGAACCTTGATAAAAAAATTATATGCATGCAGCAAATTCTGAGCATTTGCGTTACAAAACAATAGAAGAAAGAGTACTAACATGGGTGTGCGGGAGAGTACGGGAACTCCAGAGTAGGTATCCTGGGTGAGGAGCCAGGATGCAGGCTGGGTGGGCAGTGGTAGCAGAACATGCTGGACCCTGGTGTGTGTCAGACAAGGAGACGCAAGATTAGCTTCTCTAGGCACTTAGATAAATGCATAACACACATTCAGTCACACTTAAGAGTGTACCATACAGGTGTTGTTGTACGCTATCGACTCCATCACACGTGTAAGTATACCATACAGGTATTGTAGACTACACACTCCATCACACGTTTGTGAGTGTACCACACAGGTGTTGTAGGCTACACACTGCATCACACATGTGTGTGATTGTTCAACAGAGGTGTTGTAGGCTACACACTGCATCACACATGTATGAGTGTTCAACACAGGTGTTGTAGGCTACACACTGCATCACACATGTGTGAGTGTTCAACACAGGTGTTGTAGGATACACACTGTATCACACATGTGTGAGTGTTCAACACAGGTGTTGTAGGCTACACACTGCATCAAAACATGTGTGAGTGTTCAAACACATGGTGTTGTAGGCTACACACTGCATCACACATGTATGAGTGTTCAACACAGGTGTTGTAGGCTACACACTGCATCACACATGTGTGAGTGTTCAACACAGGTGTTGTAGGCTACACACTGCATCACACATGTGTGAGTGTTCAACACAGGTGTTGTAGGATACACACTGCATCACACATGTGTGAGTGTTCAACACAGGTGTTGTAGGCTACACACTGCATCACACATGTGTGAGTGTTCAACACAGGTGTTGTAGGCTACACACTGCATCACACATGTATGAGTGTTCAACACAGGTGTTGTAGGCTACACACTGCATCACACATGTGTGAGTGTTCAACACAGGTGTTGTAGGCTACACACTGCATCACACATGTATGAGTGTTCAACACAGGTGTTGTAGGCTACACACTGCATCCACATGTATGAGTGTTTCAACACAGGTGTTGTAGGCTACACACTGCATCACACATGTATGAGTGTTCAACACAGGTGTTGTAGGCTACACACTGCATCACACATGTGTGAGTGTTCAACACAGGTGTTGTAGGCTACACACTGCATCACACATGTATGAGTGTTAAAACACAGGTGTTGTAGGCTACACACTGCATCACACATGTATGAGTGTTCAAACAGGTGTTGTAGGCTACACACTGCATCACACATGTATGAGTGTTCAACACAGGTGTTGTAGGCTACACACTGCATCACACATGTGTGAGTGTTCAACACAGGTGTTGTAGGCTACACACTGCATCACACATGTGTGAGTGTTCAACACAGGTGTTGTAGGCTACACACTGAAATCACACATGTATGAGTGTTCAACACAGGTGTTGTAGGCTACACACTGCATCACACATGTGTGAGTGTTCAACACAGGTGTTGTAGGCTACACACTGCATCACACATGTATGAGTGTTCAACACAGGTGTTGTAGGCTACACACTGCATCACACATGTGTGAGTGTTCAACACAGGTGTTGTAGGCTACACACTGCATCACACATGTGTGAGTGTTCAACACAGGTGTTGTAGGCTACACACTGCATCACACATGTATGAGTGTTCAACACAGGTGTTGTAGGCTACACACTGCATCACACATGTATGAGTGTTCAACACAGGTGTTGTAGGCTACACACTGCATCACACATGTGTGAGTGTTCAACACAGGTGTTGTAGGCTACACACTGCATCACACATGTTATGAGTGTTCAACACAGGTGTTGTAGGCTACACACTGCATCACACATGTATGAGTGTTCAACACAGGTGTTTTTAGGCTACACACTGCATCACACATGTTGAGTGTTCAACACAGGTTTGTAGGCTACACACTGCATCACACATGTGTGAGTGTTCAACACAGGTGTTGTAGGCTACACACTGCATCACACATGTGTGAGTGTTCAACACAGGTGTTGTAGGCTACACAGTGCATCACACATGTATGAGTGTTCAACACAGGTGTTGTAGGCTACACACTGCATCACACATGTGTGAGTGTTCAACACAGGTGTTGTAGGCTACACACTGCATCACACATGTATGAGTGTTCAACACAGGTGTTGTAGGCTACACACTGCATCACACATGTGTGAGTGTTCATCACAGGTGTTGTAGGCTACACACTGCATCACACATGTGTGAGTGTTCAACACAGGTGTTGTAGGCTACACACTGCATCACACATGTATGAGTGTTCAACACAGGTGTTGTAGGCTACACACTGCATCACACATGTATGAGTGTTCAACACAGGTGTTGTAGGCTACACACTGCATCACACATGTATGAGTGTTCAACACAGGTGTTGTAGGCTACACACTGCATCACACATGAGTGTTCAACACAGGTGTTGTAGGCTACACACTGCATCACACATGTGTGAGTGTTCAACACAGGTGTTGTAGGCTACACACTGCATCACACATGTATGAGTGTTCAACACAGGTGTTGTAGGCTACACACTGCATCACACATGTGTGAGTGTTCAACACAGGTGTTGTAGGCTACACACTGCATCACACATGTGTGAGTGTTCAACACAGGTGTTGTAGGCTACACACTGCATCACACATGACGGCACCTCAAAATCTCCTACATTATCTTTCATTTATAATTAAAAATTAACTATTTTTTACACTGATAATTTACGTAATTACTTTTACATATGATATATAGAATAAGGATTCCGTACAATTATTTCTACTTACAATAAAGAAACTGTATTGACAAAAGTAGCTCGTACCTGGATAATAACAACCACTCTTTATTACCTAAAAATATTATTATTTAAACTAGCTAGTTAAATCTAACTATACTGTGTGTGTGTTAAGAACACAAACAATTATATAAATCACCTCTACATAGTTTATTAATTAATATATATCACTACTTAGGAGTTTATATGAAAACATTTTCTGTTGCTTGAGACTAATTGATCATACACAATGTTTATGTTATTAATCATATACAGTGTGTATGTTATTGATTATACACATTGTGTATATTATTGCTGTACTTAGTGTGTGCAGGTGATGGAGTTAATAAAATATGACAGGTGGTGGAGTTAATAAAATATGACAGGTGGTGGAGTTAATAAAATATGACAGGTGGTGGAGTTAATAAAATATGACAGGTGGTGGAGTTAATAAAATATGACAGGTGGTGGAGTTAATAAAATATGACAGGTGGAGTTAATAAAATATGACAGGTGGTGAAGTTAATAAAATATGACAAATGATGAAGTTAATAAAATATGACAGGTGGTGAAGTTAATAAAATATGACAGGTGGTGAAGTTAATAAAATATCACAGATGATGAAGTTAATAAAATATGACAGGTGGTGGAGTTAATAAAATATGACAGGTGGTGGAGTTAATAAAATATGACAGGTGATGAAGTTAATAAAATATGACAGATGATGAAGTTAATAAAATATGACAGGTGGTGGAGTTAATAAAATATCACAGGTGGTGAAGTTAATAAAATATGACAGATGATGAAGTTAATAAAATATGACAGGTGGAGTTAATAAAATATGACAGGTGGTGAAGTTAATAAAATATGACAGGTGGTGGAGTTAATAAAATATGACAGGTGATGAAGTTAATAAAATATGACAGGTGGAGTTAATAAAATATGACAGGTGGTGGAGTTAATAAAATATGACAGGTGATGAAGTTAATAAAATATGACAGGTGATGAAGTTAATAAAATATGACAGGTGATGAAGTTAATAAAATATGACAGGTGGTGAAGTTAATAAATATGACAGGTGGTGAGTTAATAAAATATGACAGATGGTGAAGTTAATAAAATATGACAGGTGGATGAAGTTAATAAAATATGTCAGGTGGTGGAGTTAATAAAATATGACAGGTGGAGGTTAATAAAATATGACAGGTGGTGAAGTTAATAAAATATGACAGGTGATGAAGTTAATAAAATATGACAGGTGATGAAGTTAATAAAATATGACAGGTGATGAAGTTAATAAAATATGACAGGTGGTGGAGTTAATAAAATATGACAGGTGATGAAGTTAATAAAATATGACAGGTGATGAAGTTAATAAAATATGACAGGTGTGGGAAATTAATAAAATATGACAGGTGTGAGTTAATAAAATATGAAGGTGATGGAAGTTAATAAAATATGACAGGGGATGAGTTAATAAAATATGACAGGTGATGAAGTTAATAAAATATGACAGGTGGTGGAGTTAATAAAATATGACAGGTATGAAGTTAATAAAATATGACAGGTGATGAAGTTATTAAAATATGACAGGTGATGAAGTTAATAAAATATGACAGGTGATGAAGTTAATAAAATATGACAGGTGATGAAGTTAATAAAATATGACAGGTGATGAAGTTATTAAAATATGACAGGTGATGAAGTTAATAAAATATGACAGGTGGGTGGAGTTAATAAAATATACAGTTGATGAAGTTAATAAAATAATGACATGGTTTGATGAAGTTAATAAAATAGACGGTGATGAAGGTTATAAAAATATGACAGGTGATGAGTTAATAAAATAAAGACAGGTGATGAAGTTAATAAAATATGACAGGTGATGAAGTTAATAAAATATGACAGGTGATGAAGTTAATAAAATATGACAGGTGATGAAGTTAATAAAATATGACAGGTGATGAAGTTAATAAAATATGAAAAGGGGATGAAGTTAATAAAATATGACAGGTGGTGGAGTTAATAAAATATGACAGGTGATGAAGTTAATAAAATAGACAGGTGATGAAGTAATAAAATATGACAGGTGATGAAGTTTAAAAAAATATGACAGGTGATGAAGTTAATAAAATTTTACAGGTGATGAAGTTAATAAAATATGACAGGTGATGAAATTTAAAAAAATATGACAGGTGGTTGAGTTAATAAAATATGACAGGTGGAGTTAATAAAATATGTCAGGGGGGTGGAGTTAATAAAATAGACCAGGTGGTGAAGCTAATAAAATATGACAGGTGGTGGAGTTAATAAAATATGACAGGTGGTGAAGTTAATAAAATATG